CCATGGATAAAATACCAAATAAAATTAAATCCATCACGGCGTACATAAATTACACATTGATATTAGCGGATCACTTCTACCAAATAAGATATAAATCATCACCGGTGATCATCTTTGACCGATTAATATAGTTTATTTAAAACAAAAAAAATATTATTATTATTATTTTTGTATCACCATTAGGTTTGACCGCTATTATGTTGTTTTTAGTGTTTTCGATGTATAAATTAATTTTTCAGGGCGTTTACCGTTGATTGTAAAATTGAATTAAACGATTTACAAAATATTTTACTCTTTCTAGCCGCATAATTTAGTTATTTTGAATAAACAAATAAGTCAATTGGTTCGAATTTTCTCAGGTTTACTTGAATGGTAATTGACCATGTCCAAAAGTATCCATTTTCTTCTCTTCACTATTCAGCCTCCACAACCTTATGTCATTGCCGAATCAGCACGTCTAGTAAGCCTCTACATCTAGACAATGTCTATTCTTTCTTGCCACGTCATTTTAATAGAGAACACGTCACATTCCATCGGAAATTATTTTTTTAGATATCATTTGTTCTTGCTTATGTGACATGTTTTTAAAGTACAATTGTATATTGTGTTGTGTAACAAATACTTAATGAATGAATTTAAACACTTATGTTCGGAAAACATTATAATTTCTTGAAGTAATGAGACCATGTAACGATGCATTGGAGATTATTTCTTTAGATGTCGTCTATTTTTGCTTTTGTCATAACTTCTTAAATTTAATTTGTATTTAGTATTGTGTATAGTGATAGCAACGAGGCGGGTTCGGGACGTGACAGTCCCGCCCCGCCCAGTCCCACCCCGCCACGCCATGCCACTCCCCCGTCCCGCCCCGTGCCTCACCACGCCTTAGGCGGGGCGGGGCTCGAGGTGGGACGGGTGCGAGGCGCGGGCCTACCCCGTTTCCTGCCCCGTTTGTTCTTTTTTTTTTTTTTTAGTTTTAAAAAAAATAAAAAATTTTAAAAAAAAAAAAAAATAATTTTAAAAAAAAATAGAAAGCCACGTATATGGAGATATATAATTTACTTACATCTATTTATTATATCTAAGCTAATAAAACTAACAAAGCTACTCAACTTACATTATAAATATTTTTTACTGCATACTCATTCTCAACCATATATTCACACAATAAATATTTTGCATATAATCCAAAAAAATTTTCCTACTTTTAATCACTCATTCTCCTAAAAATCACTATTCAAAAGAATCAAAACATTGTTTTGCCCAAATAATAGCCATCAAACACAGGCTTAATTATATTTATCTACTAATGATTTAATAAAATTATATTTTCTTTGATTTTTATTTTTTATACTCATAACAGTTATTATATCTCAGTTTACCAGAATGTTTACTTATTTGATTTTTTAATATATATTTTTTGAAAAAGATTTAACCTTAAAAAATAAAATAAAATAAAATAAAAATATTAATGGGGGAATGTTACCACCAGTTATACTATATCAAATTTCAAAAATTCGTATAGAATAGCGAGGAGTAAAAATCAAAGTTATTATTTTTTTTCTCGATAAAATTTTATATTGATCTTATTCCTTTTAAGAAAAAATAGAAAAGGTTGAGGTTTGTTATGAAATAGAGAGAAAAAGAGAAGAAAGTAGAGAAGAGAAATCAAGAAAATTATGTGTATTTCATTGAGAATTAAAGCACCATATTTATAGGAAAGAATTAAGGATACAATGGTAATAAAAACTAAGATTGTAAAGGTATAATTGTCATTCATTAATAATCATATTATTTAACAAGATCAATAATAAATTTAAATGAAAGTACACCTACAATGAGGGCATTTTGGCCCAATAAACCACTATCTTGCGAAACACGTTAATAGATAATGACATCCAATAAAGTTGAAATAAATAACAAACACATAATTGTTCCTTAATAAGACTTGTGTTTTCATCATAAACTATACTAATGTGAGTAGCCCTTTATACGTTGGTTATTAATCTAATCTTTGATTCAATGTGTGAATTTTTAATGCCTATTTAAGGAAAATACATTGGAGTGGATTATCAATTTAAGAAAGGATAGCCAAAAGAGGGAAAAAAAAAATCTTCCTCTTCTTCTTGTGTTTTTTTTTTTTTGGGCATATCTTATTTATATAAGAAAGCTCCCTTCGACCTCTCACTCCTTGCATGGCTCTCGATTTTTAAGCATGTTGAGAGTTTAAGCGAGAATTGAAAGAGGTGCTTGAAAGCTTGACGAACGAGAAAAAAAAAAATCATGTATATCTAGTAAAGGGCTTTTCCCTAACTAGTCAAGTGGCTAGGTAAGCCACTATTCGATGAAGAAAATAGACTTTAGGGGATTGGTTTGAGTCTCGTAAAGCGCTGAAAATCCTAGTGTCGCTGGTTTGAATTCATTTCTAAGTGGGCAAAGGGTCTAAATGATAGGTAGGTGCGAGTGAGTTGAGTTTGAAAATTCAAGTCAAAGAGTAAATCAAAATATGTGAGTCGTCTTACACTTTATGATAGAGCATATGTGCAAAGGTATAATTGATCTTCTAAGCACCGTTATTTTGCTTTTGCTATGCAATGGTTAATTAACACTACAATTAAGCCAATCTAATTTACTTTCTAAGATTTCACGTAAATTTATCAACCAATTAATTGCAGTGTCATTTCGCTGTTGCTTATAATAATTAAGTAATAGCTCTTTAGAGTATATATATATATATATTGTATGTGTGCGTGTGTATGTTTTTGGGCGTTAAGCAACGAGGGCATAATACTGTAATTAAACCAATCTAATTTAATTTCTGAGACCCATCATAAATTTATGAGTAATGTTATTCATCTTCAGTGGGGATGAAAACACAATTTATGTGGTATTAAATGATAGGTTAAATGAAATGGGAAATTAAATGACTTATTTAATTTCACCTATCATTTAATGCCACATTAATGCCATGTAAACTGTGTTTTCATCCCCAATGGGGATGAAAAATAGCATTACTCTAAATTTAGTCAATTAACTTCAGTGTCGTATATATAAAGTTCATTATAGATCATAGGAATTAGATAATTCACTAATTAACTGATATGTTAACGGGTCGTTACCTAATACTAAGCACCAATATTTAGAAGATTATTTTTCTCTCTATATATATAATTTGTTTGATTCTCTTAAATATATCTAACATAATAAAACTATCAGACCCACTCGACTAACATTATACAAATATTTGTCACACACCATCACAATTAATTCCATTATATACGGGCATGAACTATAGGTCTCAATGACAATATGATGCACAATTGTCGATTAAATTATTATTTTTTAAATAAACAAAAAAAAAAAAAAAAAACTAAGTATCAAATATATTTTTTAGGTTTTTATTATACACCTATTGATGTATTTATTCCACGGATAATTTTTTTTTTAAAAATCATTTTGCTTTTGTATAATTCATATAGTTTTTCATTTTTGAAATATTACCAACGAAAATTTTCTATCAGTAATGTCAAATATTTTTATTGTATTATTATTTAGTATCTGAAAATATTTTATGAAGGAATATCAGAGACATAAATATTTTTTAGGGATAATTGCAGTAGTGGTACCAAACCTTTCATTTAATAGCAGACTTTGCCCAAACCTTTCATTTTTGCCACAAAGGGTACCAAACCTTTCAAAAATGTTCGCAGTTGAAGTCCAAATGGATAGTTTCTGTTAGTTGAACCACTAATTAACCAAATTATCGACTTTGACAATAATGTTGACTGATTTTAAAAGGTTAAAATTGTAATTTTACATTTTTTAAAATAATAAAATAATCATTATCAAATAATTAAAATTAAAAGGGGATGAGGGTGGAGTGGGTGGGATGGATGGATGGATGGAGAAAAAGAAGGTGGAATGAGTTTTTAATTTTAATTATTTGATTTTGATTATTTTATTATTAAAAATGTAAAACCACCATTTTAACCTTTTAAAATCAATCGACATTCTTGTCAACGTCAATTATTTGGTCAACTAACGATCAAACTAACATAAATCGTCCATTTAGACCTCAGCTATGGATATTTTGAAAGGTTTGGTACCGTGGGTGGCAAAAATGAAAGGTCTGATACCGAAAATAACACAAATAAAAGGTTGGACAAAATCTGTTACTAAATAAAAGGTTTGGACAAAGTCTGTTACTAAATAAAAGGTTTGGTACCGCTACTGTAGTTATCCCTATTTTTTTATGAAAATCCCTAGTAATTTCTTAGACATACGGACATAGTTCTTCCACACAATTTCGTAGGCGAAGTTTTTCCTTCCAAAAATTGATAGTTTCATTTCTATTAAAAATAATAATAAACTACTGAAAAATATGTTGCAGCCGCCAATTTTTTTTTTTCTTTTTTAATAACCTCTTAAAAGATGAAAATTGACATGATAAAATGTATAAAAAAAATACGAAATATAGAAGGAACTATGTACATGACAAGTCAATTCATATAAATTAATTGGAGTATATACAGAATATAATTAAATTCAAGTTTGGGGATTTGAGAAGAAGATTGATCATGGTTATTCTTTACTGGACCACATAATCATACCATTTCCCAATTTTAATTTCTTGATAATATTAAAGAAATCGTCCACTTGACACGTTAATAAAATAGACAAATAATTGAGGGATTAATTATAAATTTCAGCACAAAAGCAGTAGTAGCATGCTCTTGATCCCATGAAATCATTGCATATTTTATAATTATCCACGTGTTGACATGCAATTTGTTGGAACTTGATAGCCTAATGCATCCATCGGTATATATGCACATGAAAGTTATAGACACTGCTCTCCTTTGTTATTATTATCAACAAATACTCACACACAGGAAAACTGTCCCTCTAGCAATATATCACCATAGAATTGCAAGGTAGAAGGATAGGAAGAAACTATCAATCATCATCGTGAAAACGAGCTATTTGACGCACGAGAACCGATGGAAGTTTGCCGGAACATAGGAGCTTTTCTCGGGGAGGAGCGCGGCCTGAATCTCAAAGAAACTGAGCTGTGCCTTGGCTTGCCGGGTGGAGGTTGTGGTGGAAGTGAAAGCGACTCGATTAAAATTACTGGGAAGAGAGGATTTTCAGAGACTGTTGATCTGAAACTCAACCTTCAGTCCAATGAATCAGCTTTAGATCTGAAGGAAACAATGAAAAATTCATCCAATGAGAAGACTGTTCTCCCCTCCAAGGATCCAATCAAGCCACCAGCCAAGTAAGTACTTGTATACGCGTATATCTATGTTAGAAACCCCTACTCCACCCCACCTCCCAGATATACCTATACACACACTTAAAACACACAAATACTGTGTATATCTACATGTACATTAGCACTTTAGTTATATGTAATAAAATACTACTAGACTAGACAGGACACTAGTATATAATTAGTAAAAGAGGTACATGTTGAAACTGTAGGGCACAGGTGGTGGGATGGCCACCAGTCAGGTCATTCCGCAAGAATATTATGAGCCAGAAGAGCAACAATGAAGAGTCTGAGAAGGCGGCATTCGTGAAGGTTTCCATGGATGGTGCGCCTTATCTTCGTAAGGTGGACTTGAAACTTTATAAGAGTTATCAAGAACTCTCTGATGCCTTGGCGAAGATGTTCAGTTCATTCACTATGGGTAAGAAAACCATATCTGAATGAATTATTCTATGAGAATTCCATAAATAATGAAGAAAAGTTTAAAGTTTTCGATGCATATGTCAATTTCTTGTAGGAGATTATGGGACTCAAGGTATGATAGATTTCATGAATGAGAGCAAATTGATGGATCTCTTGAACAGTTCTGAGTATGTGCCTACCTATGAAGATAAGGATGGTGACTGGATGCTCGTGGGCGATGTGCCATGGGAGTAAGTTTCTTGTCGTTATTTCTTGTCACCGCCCATTTATGAAAATTGTGAACGAATTAAACCTTTGATTAAAAAAAGAAAAAATTCTGGTCTACACATGAAGTGGCATATATCTATTGAAGACAAAATTTAAATGAATACCTGACCGCTCTCTTGCGACTTAAACTTTTATATGGTATAAAGACTTCATTAATTCCCTGTTTTGATTATTATTCATGCAGGATGTTTGTTGATTCCTGCAAGCGCCTTCGCATAATGAAAGGATCAGAAGCTATTGGACTTGGTAAGTATTTCACAAGAAATTGAGATCCCTTTTTTTTTTTACATAATACAATCTTACCACACTTCATAAAACAGAATTAATGAAATGACAAAAAGTAATTTATAGAATTGACCTTGATTTTGTCAAAATAAGTCTTAAGTTTTTCATAATCATCATCGTTGTTGTACTAACTAAATAAATGTTGTATTTGTGACATGAAAAATACTTAAATTTTTATTAAGTTTCTTAGCATTATTCTTTTTCAATTTCAGCTCCAAGAGCCATGGAAAAATGCAAAAACAGATGCTAAATCATATTCACAGCCTCTATCGACCATACAATGAAGCACGTGTATTGTTCTATCAAGATGTCGCTTCTATGTGCCCGTATTTTTTTTCTCATTTTCTTTTTTTCTTTCTTTTTTTTTCCCTGGTTCGTATTGTACGTCTTTAATTTGTTTTATAATATATAGATATGAAAGATCTTGGGACATTTGTAATCGACAATAAGCATTGCACTTATCTATTGTCTGCTGGATTGTTTATGACTAATGGCTTGCTTAATAATCACTTTTTTCTTGTTGTTGTTCTTGTTATATTTGCATTCATAGATTCTTCATGTCATATGTTTCATTATTTGAAGTTGTTATGTTATTGAAAATTAAATATTTCTTGAATTATTAAAGTCCCCAGAGGGAACAAGACCATGTGCATGTTCATGGGAGTTTTCCTCAATTGCCAACGGTACATTTAATAGCTTTTCTTTTTGTAATTATTTATTCTGTTTATAATTTATTTTATAATTAAATATTGGATGGTGGTTGGGAGCACATACATGTTACATGCTGCATATATATGATATATTTGTCTACATGAGAGTGGATTTTCCTTTCAATAAACAGTTCTGTTTTTACTTTTAGTTTTAACTGAATAAATAAGTTAGTCGCATTTGTGCGATTCTATTTTAAGAATGGTGACATAAAAGTTAGCGAACATATTTTTTTTTTTTTGCCATATATACCTCCGTGGTAATTGACTATCTATGGAAGGTGGACTTCCTATTTTCAGAAGCTAATGGCAAATAAATCCCATGAATTCATGTTCCCTCTTCATCCAACTATCTCTCCTCCTTTAAGTGTAAAATCTCATCTTGTTTGAATCAGTGTTCTAAAAAGCTTCCATAAATAGAGTCTAAGCTCGAAACTTGAACAAAACACCTCAATTCGCATCTAGGAGCTTTTTTTTTTTCCAATTCCTAACGGTTGAGTTTTTTCATTCCTCTCTTTCGTCTTTCCTAGATTTGATTTTTTTTTTTTTAATTTTGAAAAAGTATTTTTCATTTAATGTTAATTTCAAGTTTTTAAAAGATTTTATCTGCGCAAAAATTAAAAATGACTTTATCTAAATAGTTAAATAAGATTTAAGCTGTGGTACTATCTAAATTATGTAATTATGATCTTGACACTCGTTATTTTGTTGCAAACTACGAAAGCATTACTGAAATTCATATAAATTTATTAAGTAAATCTAGGATATCTCTAGTTGAAAATTGAAATTATGAAAAAAAAATGAAAATTTGGAAATTGTATAATTGACTAATAGTAGGAATTATTAAGTAAATATAGTATTTTATAATTTTAGATGTTTGATATGTATTATTTTAATTATTAAATGAGTTTCAAAATAATTAAAAATTTAAAATAATATTAAAAATAAGAAAAAGCTTTTTGATGCATAAACTTAGAAATTATGAAAAAAAAACGAAAATTTGGAAATTGTATAATTGACTAACAGTAGGAATTATTAAGTAAATATAGTATTTTATAATTTTAGATGTTTGATAAGTATTATTTTAATTATTAAATGAGTTTCAAAATAATTAAAAATTTAAAATAATATTAAAAATAAGAAAACGCTTTTTGATGCATAAACTTCGCCTAGGCTCGTTTAAGGGTTTAAGCTCGTAAAACTTAAACATTCGTTTCCACGCCTAGTCACGCTTTACGCTTTTTAAAACACTAGTTTGGATGTACAAACATTAATTACCATATAAAACTTGGATTACTACTCTTAGCCCTTGTTTGAGCCCCATTATTTCGGATTAATAGATTTTTGAATAGTGATTTTTTGGAGAATTGATGGTTAAAAAGTAGAGAAACTTGTTTGATTTACGTGTAAAATTATTTTATTAGGAGAATGTATGGTTGAAAATGAGTTTTAGTAAAAAATGCATTTTGAAAAATGGGGCTCAAACAAAGACTTAATAAGACTTTATATATTGTGTTATTGATGATTGTTTTCATAAATGATAGATGAATTTTATTCTTAATACACCCATATGAATAGTAGCTAAGAACACAATCCTCTAATTTACTATTCTTTTCAAACTTCGAGTTGATTGAATTGTTCGTTTGAGGTTTTTTACACTCTCGTTTTCTTATATCTTATTTTTAATATTTTAAGCATCACATTTATAACAAGATTCCAAGTAGATGATGGTGTAAGAATTACTAGGTGTAGATCCTTCGACTACTCAAATAAGTTTTGATAACAAAGATGAAAAGCATTTATATGCTTAAAATGTTACCTACCTGGAAGAATGTTAAGTAAACATGATATTTATGACCAAAACTCGTGACAATTTCCGATCAACTTAAGAGGAATTTGATAAAATAAAAGTGTGTTATTGCTAGAATTATGGTATAGAACATGTAATTTTCATTAAGTGGTTTTTGGTGAAGCGTTATAGAGAAAAGCTTAGCTCGACATATCTATTTGGGCATCTGCTTCATTATATAATCTGTAAGAGGACGAAAATGACTCATTATGGTATTATACCACTATCAAGGCGAGGATTGAGGACAGTAATGGTATATATCCCTTCCTCAGGGAAAAGATGAAAGGTCGTTTTCTTCTATGTCTCAAAAGGTTGGCAGTTCTACCCCTCAAAGGTTAGGAAGAAGGACGTATTCCTAACTTGCTATAAAAAAATCGATAAGTGTCCTAGCTAGTTAGGGTTCTTCATGAATGTTTATTCGACCTGACGTCTAATCTTTCTTATTACTTTGCATATTACCATTCTATAGGTCTCATTAAGGAAAGAGTGGATGCTATCATAGCTATTCATTGAGATTAAAGGTCATGTAACCTCCTCTCAGTGCTGTCAACCTCTTCAAGGCCGGGCTTTTATCTGCGACTTCATCCCTTAATCAGCTGGTACTTTAGTTTTCCTTTCTTCTCTTTACATATTTTAAACTCCTAGTCTGAACTTACCACTTAGCCTCCACTTATCAATTTTAGGCCCTTCTAAGGAAATGGGAAGCTTCAGAGTAGCCATGTAGGCACTCTATCAAGCTGAGGGCCAGAGGAGAGGCTCTAGCTACTGACAAGGCATATTTGGTGAACCTAGGTTAGAGAGCAGGCCCTGTAAAGGTAATTCTTCCCCATCTCAATCCTCTTCTATTCAAAGGCCAGGTACTAACCTTCTTTCTTTTCCCAAGTACTTTTTGTTTCTTTTGTAGCCTCGAAAGGTTCGAGCTTTTGCTATCCCAACTTGCCGAGGCCTGAATTGGACGATCTAAATGAGAAGCATATAGAAATCTTTATGGACCAGACTCCATTTCCCTCATAGGACGTGACAGCCGCTCTCTCCTACCCAATGTAAAACATAGCCAACCTTTTGACAATATGTTGGATCGTAGCAGAGCAAGTAACCTCATCCAATTGAGCACTGATTGGGCATCTATTATAGTGGAGCTTTATGCTCATTGGTCCATTCTGTACGTGATGGTTATCTCTAATAATGTAAATAGCACTCCCCATCTTTATGCTTTGCTTGCCTACATTATTTTTGCTCACTATTCTTGGACCAAGTAAAAGTCGAGGTCGAGACTGTTACGAAACTCTAGAATGATGCTTTGATAATATACCAAGTAGTTGAGGTTGATGAAGTTCCTCACCTTAAGAAGGTAGACAAAGAAAACCAAGGAAGTGGAGTGATGCGAACCCTGTAGCAATGGTGACTAGATTGATGCGGAACCCAAGAACGCCAATTAAACCCGATTTTGGATTTGAATCCAACAAGATGAACCAAAAACTCAACGATAACAATGATGCGTTGAACCCCTTGATTACACAATGAAAAACCCACGATCATATGTTTGAACGCTACAAGATTTCAATCTTGATAAGTTCGATTTGTTGATCAATTGAAGAACAAGGAAAAACAAGCCTCTCAATTAATTAATTTGTCAAAAGTTGTAATGCAATAAAGTTTTTGGTATTTATACCAAACCCTAGAAATTAGGTACAAACGTGCATAATCTCACAAATAGGGTAAGAGATTGACTAAACATAGAATTCTAACAATTATGGAAAATTCGCGAAAATATAAATTTTCTGCCAAAATTAGCCCTATGTCATCGCATAGGCTCATCCTATGTGGTCGCATAGGCCAAGCCTTCAGGCATCCTTTAATTTCGGTTAATATGCATGCGACCACATGCATGGCTACACTATGCGTAGTGGAACTTTTGGCCTCCGTCTTCAGCTGCTTGCATCAAGTTCATCCATCCCGATTCCAGCCTCGACCTCAACATGAAACTTGCTCCATTCTTCATCGCGATCGCCATATCCCCAACCGTAGCTTAAACAAGTAATGTCATCTCTTCTTGCACTCGTTTTGCCATCGATCGAGTAATTGGTCCTTTGTTAACTATCAATGGATCTTTCCCCGGACTTGTCATCATTCCGACGACTCCTTGGATCATATCATTCCCTCCCTGTTCGAAAGGATTCGTCCTCGAATCTGCACCTGCATCAAACAGAGATAAATCAGCAACGTTAAATGTAGGTGAAACATTAAACTCACCTCGTTGATCCTCTCGATGACCTGGAATGGTCCATCCCCACACGGTTGCAACTTAGACTTCTGATAATCCGAAAAGCGCTCTTTTCTGAAATGCACCCAAATCCAATCCCTTGGTTCAAATGTCACACGCCTTCTACCTTTATTTGCTTTCAATGATACGAGCTTACTTTTCTCCTCAAGTTGCATCCTGACCCTCTCATGCAGTGACTTTACCAACTCAACTTTTCGTTTACTATCCATGCTACCTCGTTCATTTACAGGCGAAGGCAACAAATTCAAAGGTGTTAGTGGATCAAACCCATAAACAACTTCAAACAGTGAAAACGAAGTAGTAGAGTGTACAACTCTATTATAAGCAAATTCAATAAAGGGTAAACACTCCTCCCAACTTTTCAAGTTCTTATTGATTACCGTACAAAGCAATTGAGTTATGGTTCTATT